CCGACCCGGGACTTCGTGGTGGGCGCGCTCATCCTGCGCTCCATCGGCATGGACCCGAGCGACATCTACGCGGTCATCCAGATCCCGGGCAGCCGCGAGTTCGACGTGAGCTTCCGCTCGGCCGAGAAGCTGGCCCTCTTCCTGCGCGTCTACGAGGAGAAGCGCGAGCAGGAGGACTGCTGGGAGAACTTCGTGGTGCTGGGGCGGAGCAAGTCCAGCCTGAAGACGCTCTTCATCCTCTTCCGGAACGAGACGGTGGACGTGGAGGACATTGTGACCTGGCTCAAGCGCCACTGCGACGTGCTGGCCGTGCCGGTGAAAGTGACCGACAGGTTTGGGATCTGGACCGGGGAGTACAAGTGCGAGATCGAGCTGCGCCAGGGGGAGGGCGGGGTCCGGCACCTGCCGGGGGCCTTCTTCCTGGGGGCCGAGAGGGGCTACAGCTGGTACAAGGGGCAGCCCAAGACGTGCTTTAAGTGTGGTTCCCGGACCCATATGAGCGGCAGCTGCACGCAGGACCGGTGCTTCAGGTGCGGGGAGGAAGGGCACCTGAGCCCCTACTGCCGCAAGGGTATCGTGTGCAACCTCTGTGGCAAGCGGGGACACGCCTTTGCCCAGTGCCCCAAAGCCGTTCACAATTCCGTGGCAGCTCAGCTAACCGGCGTGGCCGGCCACTGAACACCCGCCCGCCTGCCAGGGTAAACACACAGCCAGCTTACCCCTCTTAAGTGCCAAAACTTTTTTTTAAACCCTTTTTTATCGTTTTTGAAGGAGATCTTTTTAAAAACCGACGAGAGACATCTCTCGATGCCTTCCTAAGCCGAGTTTCCTCCATTTCCGCCTGTTGGGAGTCGGTGACTCCGTCATCAGAACCGATTATCAAGAACTGTAGCGTGCCGACGTGCCACCCCTCCCCTCCCTTTTTTTTTTTTTTTTTTTTAATTTTCGTTTTTGTACTGGGTTGTTGTTTTTTTCCCCCTTGTACTTTTGACCACCCCTTCCCCTACCTTGTGTTCTCCCTGGATTTTTACCCTCTGGGCTGCCCTGCTCATCTAGCCCTGGCCCTGGGTTCCAGGCAACACGTGGCAGGCACTCCCTCAGTATGTGTTGACTGTGGCTTCTGTCAGAGTGTCTACCTTTTGCAGCCCTCCCCCTCCCCCTTTTAATTTGCTGCTTCTAATCTCTGTGGTCTTTGAATTTGTGAAACCAGTGTTGTTAGAAGTGTATATAATTTGAGTCAATAAGCTCTGAATGGTGGCCAAGGGCCTCTCTTGTGGCATAGACATGCATGGACCTTGTGACAGCGCTTTTGGTGGCTCAGAAGCCACTTTTCATAGAATCATGGAATCTAGAATGTTCCTGCCGGAAGGGACCCAGGAGTGGGTGTAAACTAACCCTGTGGTTTTCCAGCAGATGAAACAGGCCCGGGTTAAAATGCCCGGGTCAAGATCACACTGCTGTCTGGTGCCAGAGCTAGCCTATGGGAGAGTTCCCTGACCCCACGCCCGGTGCTCATTCCACTACCTCTCACACTTCACAACAATTTCCTCAACACTTGAGGGCCAGGAAGTCTGATCTCTCCAGAATGATGAACCCAGCGGATTGCTGAGGAATCATCTGGGGGAGCAGAAAAGACGGTTTAGCAGGGGCTTCTGAATACTTGGAAGATAGGGAAGGGACCATGAACAAACTCTGGGGTGCACTCGGTACTCCCTGGGGTACCACATCCGGATTCAGGTGTGTCGGGTCCCTTGGAGGCCTTACCCTTCCATTTACCGCCATCTGTGAGAAACGGGAGTACCCCTGAGTAAAGAAACCTACCAAAGGTTTACATTTGCACCTTAGCCTCAGTAGCTAGGAACTTAGAGAAGCAGCTAGCTGGAGCTCTTCTGCAGCCTCCTGACTCACAGGAGGAAGGTGGTTTTAACCAGGAATTATGAGTGAGTTAATTCTAAAATGTGCTTGGGAAACAGGCCAAGCGAGAGGTTATGGGTCAACTAAGTGTTATCAAGTTAAAGTAGAAAAGACAGTCACTGCTTTTGTCTTTCCTTTGCTATACGTTTTGCTATTTCCTTGTGGTTTAGAATGTAAAACAATTGTTAAAAGTTTTGTTCTGAATAAATATTTATCTTTTGTATTGCTAACCTGGTGCACTATTTCCTTTCAAAGTGCTAGATGCACAATTTGCTCAGGTCTTATTTCAGTTTACACTTCCCTAACGTCATTTGTTTACCCTGCAAATACATTTCCCACCCCTGCAGGCAACACTTAGCACCTACTCTGTGGTGCCAGGCCCGCTCGCTCGTTGTTACCTAAACTCGGTGCCTTACAGTCACTTAGCACCCTGTTAACCCTGAGTTTTTATGACTCAAGGACGTCACTAAAAAAAAAAAAAAAAAAAAAAATCGAGTTTCAAATCCTAACCCAGCTCCAGGGCATCCGAATCACGAGAGGGACTGAAACATGTTTAAGTAATCGTCCCCAAGCAGCTCTGATGGACAGCCAGGTTTGAGACTATGGTTCTGAGTGGTAAAAGACGAGTGAGCCGGGAAAGCAGGTGGTGGGACGCCAGCTTCCTCACCTGACGGTTACTGTCAATGCCGTAAACGGCATGCGGAGTATTCTTGGGCTTTAGGAGAATGCCGTGCCTTCCAGTTACAAGGGAGGAAAAGAGAAGTGGAGGGTCCAGGAGACTTCCAGAGAGCTCACCCACTCCCGGCTAGCCCCACCAGAGACTGGGCCTGCGGGCAGAATAGGGTCAAGGTCTCTGGACTGAGTCCAGCGCCCTGCAGACTCCAGGACTTTGCAGTCTGAGGTGCAAAGGTGATCAGATCCTAGGAGTAGAGTTCCCAGTGTATAGACTCCGACACTTGCGGAGTGGCCCGGAGTGCGGGCCGGGTGGGCCCTCTCGAGCCGGCCCAGCCCGTCTCCTTGTCTTAGCAGCCAGCCCCACCCCATCCCTCTTTCCTTTCTCTGCTGGCGGTTTCCCTCCCTCACTGAGCAGCAGGCCAGAGGCCAGGAGAAAGCCTGCATTCACCACCTCCCCCCCCTCCCTCCCGGCTGGCGCGGGGCCAGGGAGCCTCGGTGGAAGGAGCCTTCTCGGCCCGCGCCCCTCCCCCGCTCTCCTGGAGGGAGCGGAGGAAGAGACTTGGCCCGCCCATCCCCCACAGGATCCGCTCTCCGGCCTCGCCCGGCGGTCGGGGGGCTGGAGCAGAACCAGCCTCCCCGGCTTCCTTTCCTGAGCAGGCGGCCCCCACGCTGCAGTTCTTCGCTGTTTATGGGCTGCTGGGAGGTGTGCGGAGATCCCCGGACTGAGGCTGGCTGGCCCGAGGACACGGATTCGTTGAGCCCGAGCAAAGCCACTGCTCAGGCGGCCTTGAACGAGAACGTGCACTGGCCGCGGGAGACCCCTGAGTAACTCGCGGGCATGAGCTGAGTAAGAACCAGGCGAAGAGGGAAGAGATACCAAGCAGCAGAGAGCTGGAGGCTGGCGAGCACGGGCGTGTTCAGCTGGCTGAGAGTCACAGGGAAACATCGTTGCGGGAGAAGGTCTAGGAGAGGGCTTGCCAGCCGTGTTTTAAAACGTTGATTTGAGCCGGGCGCGGTGGCTCTCGCCTGTCGTCCCAGCACTTTGGGAGGCGGAGGCGAGAGGATTGCCTGAGCCCAGGGATTCGAGACCAGCCTGGGCAATTTGGCGAGAACTCGTCTCTACAATAAATCAGAAAATTAGCCGGGCTTGGTGGCGTGTGCTTGTAGTTCTAGCTACTTGGGAAGGCTGAGGCGTAAGGATTGCATGAGCCCAGGAGGTGGAGGCTGCAGTGGCCTTGCGCGTGCCACTGCATTCCAGCCTTGGGCAACAGTGAGATTCCTACTCAAAAAAAAAAAAAGTTGATTTTTGCTCTCAGCCTCCAACTGGCTGGCCTCTTCTATTACATTCTTTTTTTTTCAAATGTATGTTAAGCACCAACTCTATAGGGCCCTTTCTAAGCAGTGGAATACACCATTGAGCAGTATAATCAAGTGTCTGAGGCTCAAATTCTAGAGTCACACAAATATATAATTACAGACTGTGATAATGCATTGAAAGAAACATACAGAGTGAAATCTCTGTTTAACAAGGATAGCTGGTCCATTCTCAGGGATCAGGGATGCCAGTGAAAGATGCCAAACTCTAAAATATTTAAGAAGGTTTATTCTGAGCCAAATGTGAGGTACCTAGGCCCATGGCATTGTCCCAAGAGGTCCTGCGAACATGTGCCCAGGTGATTGAATTTCAGCTTTGTTACATACCTCTTCGGAAGACAGCAGTTTTTTAAAAGCCACATGAATCAATACATGTGAGAATGACATTGCTTCAGTCCAGGAGTGTCTGTTAATACGGAACTGTCGGGCTGTGGCACATCTAAACAATGGCATATTATGCTGCTGTTAAAAAGAACCACTTGATTTTCTTTATTTTTTAGTGCCAAAGTGAGTTTGGTCAGACTAGACTCAAACTCCTGGGCCCAAGTGATCTCCTGCCTCAGCCTTCCTAGTAGCTGGGACTACAGGTTTGCACAGAACAATTCCATATGTATTAAAATGGAAGCCGGGCTCGGTGGCTCAGCCTGTAATCCCACACCTTTGGGAGGCTAAGGTGAGTGGATTGCCTGAGCCTGCGGGTTCGAGACCCGCCTGGGCAGCGAGACCTCATCTCTACAATAAATTAAAAAATCAGCCGGGCGTGGTAGTGCATGCCTGTAATTCCGGCTACTTGGAAGGCTGATGCGGAAGGATTGCTGGAGCCC